CAAGAGTACGTCGTAATGAAATTATACAGCTTTTTTATCAGCAGAGATTTCAAATTGCCGCACAAGATATTATACTTTTAAAAGAAATACCTTCTAAGATTTTAAGAAGAAGAAAGGACTTTACATTTTTGACTCAGGAGTTAAAGAAGCGGCAGATACCTTTCAGATGGGAAATTCCTTCGGGTATTATATTAAATTTTGCAGGGACCAGACACAGATTAAACTCTGTTCAAAAAGCTAAAGATTTTTATTTGTCGGTCCTGAAAGCTGATATGTCACCATCATCGACGTCTAAGGCACAAGAAGATCTGATGGAGCAACTTGTTGTGGAATTGCCTGGGGCCATGTCATTATCGGTAGAAGATTCTCAGAAGGAGCAAAGGATGACCTGTGCTGCTTATAGGCGTAAAGAGAGAGAGCAACAAAAAGAAACAGTCTCTATAACATATCCACAGCCTTCAGAGCCAATGGGAGGGGCGAGGCCAAAGAGATCCGCAGCGACAGATGTGCAGGGAATGCTTAGCAAGATTTGTAAGCCGAAAGATGGATAAACGCTGGAAGTGAGACTTTATTATGGAAATGGAAGAAATTAGTTTACTATATGCTTGTAAAGAACTCATAGTTTTTTGATTTTGTTTTCTTGAAAGATGTAAAAGATTAAGATTGGGATTTTATCTTATTTTTCCAGCTGTGAAGCAGGAAGTATTGACTTAAGATTTTATTGAAAGTATAGAGGGAAGAAAGTGAAGGGAAAATTTAAGTGTAAAATGTAAGGAAAAATTATGTAAAGTTTAAATGTTGACAGTGGAGAGATCATATTTAGAGAAAGTATGGAGTGATTAAATGTTATATAGTTTTTGAGTAGATATATTGGTTTTTAATTAATTTTAATTAATTCAATTGCCTTATTAGAGTTAAAGTAGGTATATACTGATAGCATTATATTTGTTTAGTTAAATTGTAATTTAGATTGGGAATGATGTGTTTCAATCCTGTATTTGGTTCCGGGAAGCTCAGGGGGGGGAAGGGGATTAGGGGTATTGGAAAAAAATTGATGTATTTATATGCTATAGGTAAATAATAATTGTATTGATAAGATTGTAGATTTATATGTGGGGTTTTTTTTCTTTTTAAGGAGGGGTCCGGTGAATACCCCAACTGCACCAGACGGGATGGCTGAGAGAGGAAGGGAAGTAGGAGAGAGGGAGGAAGGAGGAGAGGTAGTAGGTCCGGGGGGAGGAAGGTGTGGAAAGTGAAAGAGGGGGGCGCAGGGGGGGGACAACGGGTACTTCCGTGAATGTATTGAATAGTGTTATCTTTTTTTGGTTGATATTGTGACTAAATGCATCATATCTATGTGATTGTTTTTAACTGAAAAGTTAATAAAAATTTCTATTAAAAAAAATATGTTTCCCACACAAATATGTCTAGACATATCCAGAGAATGAATCTGATTATGGATTCTCCCATGTAGGGTTAATGTAATCCATATCCTACATCCATATCCATAAGGGAACTAGTGGATCAACTATATTGGACTTAATTCTCACTAACAGAGATGAAATAATAGAAGGTGTTGAAGCCACAGGAACCTTGGGGGGGGGATGATCATGCAATATTGGAATTCAACATTATGCAAGCACAAGCAATAGAACACAGTCAAACTAGAGTCTTGGACTTTAAGAGAGCTAATTTCAATAAACTTAGAGAGAGCTTGGGAAGGATTCCATGGATGAGAATCCCCAAGGGGAAAACAACTCAAGAAGCTTGGGAAATTTTTAAAAGTGAGATTATAAAAGCCCAGTCTAGCATAATACCAACAAAGAAGAAAAATAACAGCTCTTAAAAGAAACCAGCATGGCTGCATAAAGAACTCTCTGATAAATTGAAAGACAAAAAGGACAAGTATAAAAAGTGGAAAGAGGGGCACATAACTAAGGCAGAATATCAGCAAATAGCCCAAGCCTGCAAAGATGAAGTGAGGAAAGCTAAGCTCAAAATGAACTAAAGCTTGCAACAAAAGTAAAAAATAACAAAAAAAAAGCTTCTTTCAACATGTAAAAAAACAAGAAAAAATTAAGGAAATTATTGGTCCATTAGTGGGAGAAAGTGGCAAGAAAGTGACAAGCAAAAGGGAGAAAGCAGAACTACTCAACTCGTTTTTTGCATCCGTATTTACACATCCATTTGGCCCAAATACCTATTTTGTTATTTGTGTTACTAGACATGCTTCCAAAAGAATCTTCAGCCTAAAAACAGATTGTCTGGCCCTGTTTCCATACATTCTTTACTCAGACTTATACTTGCACATACTAAGTGAACATTGGAAACATACACCTTTCTTGGGACACTAAATTCCTTTCTGACAGTAACATTAGTGAAAATTACAAAACATCTGTTCCTACTACTTCTTTGCCAATTGCAGATATTCTTCTACACTCCTCCTCTGGACTCTTCAGCCAGGTTCAATATGGTAAACCTGTGCCTACTTCTAAAACACTTTGTTTTATGTTAGCCTCCTGATACAATGATTTCAGCTTCTTTTTCTTGAAAACTTGCTTTTTCTCATTTTGTGATTTTTTTCTTTCTTTCCAGGGTTTCTGTGATCTCTTCCTGGTGGTCTCTTCTTGAAAATCTATTCACCCCTCTCAGTTCTGTCCTCTTTTATTCTATTCTTCCATCACCACCACAATAGCAGCTCTCAACTAATTAGCAGCTCAACTTTGAGATCAAGCCATATAAT